GTCGAGGCAATAGCAAACGCTTCGCAGGTCGACGATACACTGTGGAAAGGGATCCATTTTTCCATGGAATAAAGAAAGCTTGTCAGATTACATACTTCAATGGGAGAACTCACCTCCTCAGATTCAGAGTGGTTTTAGTTCTGGGGATATCGCTCGAAATGGATTCCAGGTCCTCTAAAGAAGTAGCAGGCTCCAGAGTAGGAACATCAGGACGAGTGCATCGAGTATAGACACACAAAATTGGAGGAGGTTCTGGTTGATTGGTAGGTGGTGGATCTAAGAGAACAGATAGTTTCTTGGGTATAGTGGTGGAGAAATATTCACAGGTGTTGGATAAAGAATAGTGTCCAAGAAAACAAGCCCCCACTCACTTGAGGTCGTGACAGAGAAGTAAGGAGCACTTTCAAATCAGACATCGACACTCACATAGAGTTTATTTATAGTACGATCAAGACACTGATAACCTTTTTAAGTGGAAGAATTTTCGAAGACGCATGTTATGGATCTGGGATTGAGCTTACTACGGTTAGGGGCGGTATTCCGAACAAAGGTCGTGCATCCAACTATTTTGGGTTCAAGATTGGTGAAGAGCCAATCAATAGGAAAACATGACATCAAGATAGTTAAAGGAGTTCTGAAGCTATGAAATTTTGTAAGGATTCTATTGATGAGATAAGTGGTAGTAAGCACAAAATCATTCCAAAACATTTTCGAGACATTAAATTGAAACATGGAGTGAGCCACTTCGAGTATGTGTCGACTTCTTCTTTCAATTGCCCCATTTTATTGAGGAGAGTCTGTACATGAGCTATAATGAAGGATGCCCATGCTCACCAACAATTCACCTAAAACTAAGTTAAAAAATGCATGCCTACTGTCGGTTTGGACGGCCGACAATGATGTCTTGAATTGGATCAAAAGGAAGAAATAAAAGTTTTTTTAAGATGAAAGCAGTTTCAGACTTATCTTTTAAGATAAAAGACTCACGCCATTCAAGTGTGGTCATCAATTAAGGTAAGGATCCGTCAATTATTAGTGTAGATGTGAATGCAATAGGATTCTCATAAGTCATTGTAAATAAGTGAAAAAAAAGCGGAAAGCGTGTAAAGGTGATTGAATATGAAACTCGATGATGTTTAGCTAGTTGACAAATCTCACATTTAAAACTAGCAATTTTTTTATCAGTGAACAGATGATTTAAATATTAAAAAATGAGATTACTCAAAACATAATGCAACAACATCATCGGACATTCAGTTGATCGAAAAAGTCTACAACAACTAGAAGTGTCCTCATTCTCTGTCTTTCTTTTGGAAGAAGTAGATCCCGGCTAGTCGTTTAGTAGTTTCAATCATCCTCCCCGAACGTGATCCTAAAAGACACAAATATCTGGAGAAGAATGAACAGCACAATCCATGTCATGTGTCAGCTTACAAACAAATAACAAGTTACATTTCAACTGGAGAACATGCAACAAAGATTTCAGAGTTAGCTGGTTGTTAATAAAACCGATCTTATACCAGTAACGAAGTTACATGAGTCATCAGCAATTTTTTTGTATCTTTCTCGTAGCATGGATAATATGTTGAGAAAGCTTTCCAGTCAAGAGTGTCCAGTCATGTAGTTTGTGGCTCATGAATCAATAATCCATGGACTAAAAGAGACAAGAGGTGAGAGACATAGGAATGGTAACTTGTTAGATGTGTGAGAGGTCGATGGACTGAAAGAAAATTGGCTAGATTCAAGAAGTTTAATTAATAGCACCATCTCACACTTAAGAGAGTCGAATGATTCCAGTATTCTAAACGGAGCAGGTTGAGATGTAATAGATTCAGATGTCGTAGTAGGACCCTTAGTACAGAAAAATTTGGTTGACGGTTTGTGTGCTGGTTTTCCATGGAGTGTCCAATATTTGTCCTGAGTGTGGCTGGGTTTGTAACAGTAATCACAAGTGGAGCCAGTGGCTCGAGATGAGCGTTGACTACTATTAGTGACCAATGCAGATGATTCAACTGAAGTGGAAGTGTCGAGATGACAAATCTTTGGCTCTCTTCGCATTGAATTTCAGTGAAAGCGGCATGAGGGGAATGAAGAGGATCCCGTCCAAGGATACAGCCTTGAATTTCATCAAGAAACTTGTTAAGGCCTGCAGAAATTAAAATAAAAAATCTTTTTCAACAATTTTTTGGAAAGAGTATGTAGTCATAGTAGGGATCGAATTACAGTCATAAGGCCACCAAATCATTATAGTAGTGGGGCACGGTCTCGATCCCAGTTTTGCCTTGCGAGTCTTCTTGGAAACCTCATAAAGTTGGCTGGAGTTTCATATATCTGAGTATGCACCCCGAACTGCAGTCCATAGAGCATTGGCAGAAAGAAGAAACATATACGACTGCCAATCCTAGTCTCCATGGAGTTAATCAACCATGGCATGACAATAGAATTCACCACTTCCCACGTTTCATACGTTGGATCCATTTTTGGAGGTTTACTAATCATTCCGATTGAGATAGCTGAATTTCCGGCATCCTTCGACGAACAAAGACACGGCTTGAGATCACTAGAGAAAATTAGAATCGTTTAGTTCATGTGTGGTGATCAGCAAGTTCATGTGGATTTCCGGTCCTCCGATCTGCGGAGGGATTGAGAACGATGCTAACCCATTGGTGGACTCAAGTACACCATCGGAAGAAGGCTCGGTGGTGAATCTGTCATGATTCCAACTGAGACAATCGTGATGTTGGGATGTCTAGACATAGGAATATCCCTGATTGAGAACAGCATAATAAGAGCTGGCAACTGGACAAGTCCCTGATTGCACCATACAAGAAGAACGGGCTCACTGGAGGAAGCTCAGACTAGCGGAAGACAATTCCAACGGCTGGAAACAACAATTGATTAGTCAAGTGGCCTTCTGCAGAGAGGCAGCGTAGGTAGACGTCCTATAGCGGGGTGAGTTGTGAGGTTGTTGTGAGGTTGGGGTGGTAAAAAGGGCGAACCAGGGAGAACAAGAAAGGGTTGAGGTAGAAACCTTGCAGGGAAGGAGCAAGTGTCGGCGGCTAAGGTGGAGGCTCTAGGGTTAGACTCATGGCTTTGATACTGTGTCAACTTTTGGGGCTAGATCACCTTATTTTCATTGATAGAAAAAAAGGATGAATAAATACACATTACAATAAAGCAAATAAACCCTAATAATTACTGCAAAACTAATTAGACTAATAATTCTAATAGTTGTTGCCCTTGTTGTTGTTACCACTATTGTTGCTTAATGTCACTACTGCTACTTGTTGCCACTATTGGTTGTTATTTTAGAAAGATTTTGGCCAAAGAGATGGAGAAATAGAGAGATAGGGAATACAAGAGGAAGACTTCCGATGGATAAAGAATGCAGAGGAGGGCTGCAGTGAGAGCTCCGACTGAAGGAGGGCCTGCAATAAAGAATTCAGCTGCAAGGAGGATTCCGACGGAGGAGATAACTAGATAGAGGATTCCTGCTCCAGAAAGGAGCAGAACAGAGACCTACAAAGGAAGTACCAGATATGGTAGGTGAAGTTCCAAATCTAAAAAAAGTAATTTCGGCTCTGGCAGAGGAGTTTCGGCTTAAGAAAAAAAAAGTTTGAGGTATAGGTGCCTAGAGAAGGAGGTTACTACTCTTGGCAGACGAGTTACGGCTCAACTATGAAAGACGCATTTACAAACTTCTGGTAGTAAAGGTCTTTTAGAGGTTCCAATAGAGGAGTTTCAAGTAGAGAATGTTTCTTACAAAGGGAGATAATGTGTGAATCATGTCTCTGATACAATGTAGATTTTACTTGAGGAAAATTGCTTAATTCATTGTTTACAAATAGAATACATATATACAGAAAAATCAATCATTCCTTATTTACAAACTTACCAAACATATCCACCTAAATTAGGAAATGAAATAATTTTGAATAAAAAATAGAAAAACATAAAATAGGAAGAGTAGACCATTCAAAAGTTTCCTAAGATATCCCAATCAAATCCTTGTGACCAGCCTACATCAGAGAGGTAAACATAAAAAGGACCAAATGTTTTCAAATTTCCACAGAATTTAAGAAAAAAGATTTAAAAATCTAAAATACTTGTTGGTATGGAAGAAGCATGACCAAAAAAGTTTTTGCTATTTCTCAAACGAACAATATTCTTGATCTAATTCAAAAAATAAGAATGCTTGGATGCAAGCTTGCAAAAGCTCAATTAACTCAATAATATAGAGAAGCCTGGTTGCATAAAAAAGAAACAATGTGTACCGGAAAAGCACACTTGGCCGTGAATGTAAGTTAATGGCACTTCACGTGGACAAAAACATTGTTATCATAACTAAATCACATGATAAATTCTTTAACATTGTAATGGAGCAACCAGGTTGCCATATGTATTGCAAAAAAACTTATTCAAAAATTAAGTTAGATCAATATTTGGTCTACAAAGTATGGGAAAAAAAAGAAAAACTAAACAAAATTATGTTCCAACAAACTCAAACTGCAAATATACTCACCAAGGCATTATACCAGAATGATAATTGATAAGTAACCAACAAGTTGCGCATAATCAGCATATCAAACCCAGCTTAAAAAGTGTGTTAAAATAATCCTAAATCTATGAAACATACATGTCCATTTTTATCAACCCAATAATCCATAGACAACTACTTTTCTTCTCTAACAATCCAGTAATCCATGGGTTGCTTTTCATTTATAATAATCCATTAATTTGTGGACTGCAACTTTCCACCTATAACAACTCATCAATCCATGGACAGTAACTTTTCATTTTTATTTTTTTAACTCTACATTCAAGAATTAAAGATTGGTTTCCTTTTTTTTTTTAATGATAGTTATTTCTTTGCATTTTTATGAATGGTTTTCAATCTTGTGTTTTACACAAAATCTCCTGTTTTATACTCCTTTCTCATCCTAATTCTCAAGAGAAGTTTTCTAAAAAGCTTTTGGAGAAGAAATAACTTAAATCAATACCTCTGCATCCAAATGGACAGGAGCATATCGATTGAGCTTTTTCTGCAAGTCTAGACTACGACTTTCAATGTCTTCCTTGTACCTACATTAATTACAAAGAGAGCTCAACAAAACAGTTCAATAAATTTGTGAACAAATCTATTTGCTGCTATTAAATTTACTAAAACCACAAATTGAATCATATGCGAGTAGAAGTTTGTGAGCATTACTCCATATCACATCCCACATTTTGATTCTCAAAAAATGAACTTTTAAAACCCATTTATACATATAGATGGCACATGTCAGAATAAAAGAAGTTATTTTTGGTCTTGATATCCATTTGAGTATTATAGCATTTTGAAACAGATGTTCCCAATCAGTACTATCATTGTTTTTATTAGCACATAAAAAAGCAAAGAACGCATGCTAGGATATCTAATAAACCTAACCTTGCAGTTCAAAGTACGCAAGCATTATAAATACAAGAAATCCATCCATTTGAAAGGACTTCGTCTGTATCTTTATTTTAGATAACTTTAACATGCAACATCAACGAACTAGAAATGTGTTAAGTGTAAAGCTTGTGTTCGGCTGCAATCAAGCAGTTGCAATAGAAAGAGCAAAATTGAAGAGGATAACGACAATACCTCTGCTCAATGACATCAAAAAGAATACTATACTGCCCAGATACATCATACGGAACATATTGTTCATCATTATTTGCTAGTAGACTCTTATAATCTGCCCAAAATATATATTTGACGGAAGAAACTTCAGTTTCCTGTAAAATGATGAAAAGAACATAAAGAATTTATAAATTACAGTTAAAAGGTGAAGCACTCATTAAATATGTGTAAACACCAAAAATGGAGGACAAAAAGTCCAAAAAAATGGGTCAAATATGGTTGGAAGTACAATCCACATAATATAATTTACCACAACTTCACGAGCAAAACAGTACTATGTAATGTCTTGTTGGTGTTTTAATGATGAAATTCATATTTTTAGCACAAGAAATCCACTTTTCACCACATCAGATTTGTTAGGTTTGTCCCCGTACACCTACTTCACCGCTGCTTTTTAAGCAACAGTTAAAAGGCATAAAACTAAGTAATACAACTCGTATTTTCTTGAACAAGAAAGATAGGTTTATTGGGTGAATGCGCCAAAGCTCGATGTTGGTAAGGTTTCACTCCCCAGCCTGACAAAACTGCAAAGTAATTTACCCTCTTCATTATAGATCTGAACTATCGTCACCTCACCCATTCATTTCATGTCTCCTACCTAACTAACGTCTTCGATTCCGTCGTCTCCAACTCTCTGTTTTACTATTGTTTGAGGGAGCTTTGAGGGTCAAATTTTCAAAACGTGGATTGGATTGTAGATAAGTCTCTACCCAGAGAATTTGCCCTTAATTTGTAAGGAATTTTTTGATATGGGGTTCGAGGTTTCCCATAGGCACAAGCCCCTATGATTAATAACTCCTCCCGATAACAGCAAAGCACTTTAGATCAAGGTTAGCCATTTAACACTAAATAATCAGCATATAGCAGCAACATACATATGTTTTAAATTCTAAAATATATCACTTTGAGCTTCAAGCGGATGATGGAGGGAAACAATGACAAACACGATTAAGATCTCAACAGGAACTCAAGCTTCCTCACATGGACATTTTAACAAAATTACCTTATTGTCCAATTTTTATACATTTTCAAGCAATGCAGCAACATTGATGATGATGAAACGACTGCATCGGCGTTCGACAACAATAATATAATATACAAAATTTGAAACAATAATAGGGACTTGGGTTTGGATAGGTGGAGACCTGGTGCAAAAAGGCTCGATCTGAAGGATTATAACACACAAAGAGGCTCGGGTAGGGTGTTTTTATGCACCACAGAGAGGACTGTGTGTGCGGCTTCAAGTAGGAGAGCGGACAGCTTTGGTCGAAGAATCGACGAAGAGCACTAGGGCAGCCCTCGATCTAATCAAGATAGGAGGACATACCAAGCATGTAACTTTCGATTTTGCAAGGCTTCGTTGTCAGTTTGGATGAAAAGGGTGGATTTGGGAAATGAGTAGAACGCGGAGGGTTTTGGTGCAAGAAGACGACGTAGTCACATGAACAAGGAAGTGAAGGGGGAAGCTTCAAATCATGAGGTGTACACTGCAAAGGAAATCAACAAGGAGGCACAGCGTAGGCCTCGACTGGAGATCACGGCTTTAGCACAAGAAGATGTCGGATTGTCGCGACCTTGTGGTTGCTTTCTCTCCTAGATCTATTCTTGCGTGAAATATTTCATTTCTTCAACATGAAAGCAATAGCGAGTGGGCAAAAGGGAAGGTATGTTTTGGAGCAAAGAGGGGCCGAAGCGGGATCAGGATCTTCGGAGTTGTGGTGGTTTTCATATGCAATGGAAATGAGGGTGTTGGCGCAAAAGGAGGAAGAAGAACGTGTGTAATTCTATGGGACGGAGGTTTTCACCGATTCTTCAAGCAGTTGAGGCACAATGTTGAAAAAAAAGATCAATCGAAGTTGTACATAAGAAGGTGCAAGTGTTAGTGGAAGGGAAGAAACGTAAGCTTGTGTAGGAGAAGGCGCGTGTGGTAGTCGAGGGGATGGATTGAAATCTTGTGCAGAGCTTCAGTGTAGGGGTTGACGAAAAAGAGGAAATGAGTTCAAATGGAGAGACGACCGACTGCGATCAGTTTCAAAACGAGAGGCTTAAGTGAAGCCCGGGGAACTGCCAAATTGAATTTTAAGCCTCAAAAGAAGTGCGGGAACAGGTAGGATATTACATTTTGATTATTTTTATTTTCTCTCTTTTTTTTAATACCACCTTTTCTATTTCAACGATCAACATGGACAAAAAAAAAGACATGGGGTACCCTCCATTATTTTATCTCCTCCCTTGGATCTTGAAAGCATAAAAAGCAATATATTATGGATGTATATTAAAACATAACATAGCTATTATTAATGTAGATTACAACACCTTATATAATATTTTTTCAACAAACATCAAACAAAAATATAATGGTGTTATCTACCAAATAAAAAAAAATTAAGGATCAACCCAAAAAATTACTGTCATTTTGCATTAAATATCATTAAGTGTATTTAAATGGAGATCATAGACCAACAATAGTGTTATCATAAAACCTGTGAATTTGTCAATTTTATCACACCCATCCCTATAAATAAAAAGGGTACAAATCAAAAATGAAGAGTAAATTACGCAAAATTGTAAGAGGTCAACAATTTGGCTTCTCTCAATTGTCTTGGAACCTATGCCAACCATCTCGGAGCATCTTTGTAATGCATTGCCCCATATCCTCTAAAAGAGTCAGTTATAGATAGATGATACATAAGCTATAATTAAATACAAACAGAACAGAGAATACTTTTCAATCACGGTTGATATAAGATCAACGATAATGGGTCTTCATACTAACTGAATCAAAAATCAAAGACAATGGGTTTTCATAATAAATCACTAAAAAATCAATGAGCCTTCAGCTGCTCACGTGCATTCTCTAATTTTGGGGAAGAAAAAAAATGTACAAAGGAGTTTACAGGACATGAGCTCATAAAAGGCAACACAATCAAACATGAGATTGCTTGCTCAATTTAAGTCGAAAAGAAGGGCTACCATGAGAAATAGATGCACTGGTGTTTTAATGGAAACAGGAGAGAGATTTTTTGAGGATGTGAATAATAAAAAGGACTTTCGAATAATAGAAGGCCCTTATTTGTGAATTTCTAGACATCGGAAAACATTTTTTACAAAGCAATTATCAGAGTTTGGTCTAATTGAATAAATGCTTACATGAGAAAAAACTTTTGGTATTTTTATTTTAGAGATTTTGAATGAATTTAGAATTGAAGATAGCATTGATCATTATTGTAGGTGATTAGCTTGAATAGAATCCACTATATAAGTGAATTTGACTTGAGATTTGAATGAAAGATGCTAAAATTTGGACAGTTGTTAATTGGAACAGCCGGCAGGAATTAGACGGTTAGCATATATATAAATTTGGATTGGAATTGGAATAATAAGCCTTAATTAATCTAAATGTGACATTCCCTTTAATTGCTTAATTAAGTTCTTAAATATAAATGTCATGTATTCATTAATTATTCCGAACTTAATTGGATATAAAAATTTAAATTATCATTCAGCAATATAAGAAAAAATTTTCATATCAATTATAATGAATTTATCTAACTAAATTATCAATAAATGAAGAATACGTGAGTTAACAGTAAACCACCATTTGATAAAGAATCTGAGGTTTAAGTATAAATATAAAGAGTTATAATTCATAATAAAAGTTCTTGAGAGAAATTTTAAGATAAATTTCGGTATTGAAAAATTATAAAAACTTCTATTGTAAATGTTTCTTATGCATAAATTTGAGTTTGTCTTAGAGGAGTAAATATTTGAGGGACAAGGATAAAATGAAAGAAATGCATTTGCACATCTGAATGTAGTAATTACATTTATAAATTAGAGCAGCATTTCCAACTCCGAAACCTAATGCATTTAATCAGTATATTACTGATTTATTTTTTTATATAATAACAGAATTTATTATGACAAGCATGACAACATTTAATTCATTCTTCTCTTCAACAAACTTGTCATGTTATTAGAAATAAAACTTACATGTTAGTACTACTCCTGACTATTTATAACGACTATTTATGCAATAGTTTTACAAAGAAAGGCATTCAGCTTCTCGTAAAAAAAGATATCCATGTTTAAAAGAATGCAAATTTAATGATGAATAGAAGAACCTTTCCATATACATATTGATAAATAGAGTTTATCCCCTAATAGTACTAACTGAAGACATTAATGAAGTTTACTTCCATCTCAGACAATAGTTGAAATAAAACCCATGCCCATTCTGCCGACACAAGATATATTGGTGAAAGGAAAGTTAGTATATTTTTACCTCAAATAATCGTGCAATATTCTATATCACATTGTGTCGACAATGAATGTATTGGCCAAGGTGAGTTAAATTACATTTATATACTGCTCTTGAGAAGAATATATTAGTACAGAAAGAAAAATTTGAGTAAATGTATGATAAATTCCTTATATGATGAGATAGATACATTCAATGATAAATACAATAATCACATCATCATTTTAAATGTTTATCAACGCCAATGGTCATAATCGGTATTCATATGTTCAACACGTGATATGATTTCTATTACAATTAAAAATAACAACTAGAATACATGGAGTTTCTTTTCCTATATACTATGACATAGAAATATAATTGTTTCATTGTATAATATTCTAATAACTCATTATATTGATTAGTTAATAATTCAAAACTAAACGAATGGATGAAGAAAATTGGTTATTGGAAAATGCCAATAATAGAAAAAAAGTTTAAATAGCTTATTTTATCAATTCATACTTGTAAAAAAAATTAATATTTTTGTCCGTCCATCTATTCTCGCATTGGTAAGTTCAAAAATATGGGCTGCCGGTAGAAAATAGTCTATTTTTGAAATATTTTTTTGCCGAAAATAAGCTATTTCCCATGGGCACTTACAAAATGCACGAATTACCTTTGACGACTTTTAAATACCTTTATATGCCTTAAACATAAAGTAAATCAAATATTCAACTTTTAAATTCTAATGAAAAAATATTACTCTTTATACCTCCAATAATCAAAAAATAATAATAATAAAGGTATATCTTGACAAAAATGTTGATTTAATCATACTCAGCCTTTTCTTTCATTCTCTTCACATATCAACACATGTAGATGAACAAATATACAACCAATTAAACATGATCAACATATAAGTCACAAAAATTTTGTTAGATATTTTCTCTTAAAATTTGTTCAATTTTTCTCTTTCTTCCTTAAAGCAATCTCCTTCTCATACATTTGGCTTCTACAAAAGTGTAAAAGCGAGGCAAATCAAGTTCAAAAACATGAGACTAACAAAATACCTTTAAATTAAACATTGGCAAAGTTTGTTTAAATATACAAGCATGTATCATTATTTTTAACTTTATCCCAACTATTTGGGATCACCATTATGAGCAATGACTTTTATTCATTCATATTGAGCACTAAATAAAATGTTAAAAATATCCTTGGCAAATCATCAAAACAACTTCTAGTCATGTTACCATAGGTCTATTCATTCTTCATAATTCTTATACGCTAATTTTAGCCACACATCTAATGGAAAACTTTGTACCATCCATTGTAAACGGTCAAACTGCCAAAGTTTAGTTCAAAATAGATAGTATTTAATAGATGCTACTCCAACTGTCTTTATGATATAATCATTGTTTAATTTCTCCTTATAAGTTTTGCCCCGCATTCATCTTATCACTCATTTCTGGCATCACAAACTTAGCTATCAATAAAATTTTTACTGCACAACAATCAAATTCATCCAGGGGAGTGAGTCTAATTGCAAATTTAAAAAAATTACCATTAATCTTCAATAATATCCTCTTAAAAGAGCCATACCGAATAATAAGCTAATGCAACACAAATAGATTTATAATAAAAATTACAAACAGCATACTTTGGCATGTTGGATGCCTTAAATCAAAGAATTAAAAAACTATTTACAGAGCTTTACCAGATGCATGCACTATTTAAAGCAAACAATAGCAAACATGAAGAAAGATAAAAATTCCTCGTGTCGACTAAATGCCGAACTCTCTAAATCAACAAAAATCTAGGTTATCTCGTGGAGAAGAATCTTGCAAAGAAGCCATAAATTTACTCACCTGAAGATTAAATGCCTCTTGAGGGATCGGTGACAACGTTGTCACGAGATATACATCATTATATTCATTGTTGATAAATTTTCCATCATTTATCACACTGCAATACAGCTAAATGGTTAAGCATGATTCTTTCTCAGAATTCAATAAAAAGATATATATAAGAAAATAATTTAGTCAATGCTTTGTGTCTGCTTAATTCCAATTTTCCATACAGCAAATATTTGCACAAAACTTCATGAAAAATCCTACATCTTGCAATTTATTCTCGCTTCCTCTTAAGTTCTTTGAAACTATTAATCTAAGATATTTAAATTTTCCCTTCATTTTAGTATACTATGAGGAAAATTCAATTGCCTCCTCTTCCTTACTTTAGATGGAATGCAATCGCCATTCTACACATCATAATGCTTTAAAAATATTTTTAAAAAAGTGAAAATGGACATATTTTGAAGCTTGCCAATGCAGAGCATTGAAGCCTTGCTCTGTAACATTACTAAGCATTAGGGATGGGAGGAGCGCTTGTGCAGTGTTGGAGTGTGGGTGTAGTCTCTGTAGCACACAATATGCTCATTTCACCCACTAGCCTGCCGTTTAGAAAATCAACTAGCAATTATTTTAAAAAAAAATTATTCAATGCTAGCAATACAAAATACTTAAACTTCCCTATTTGTGAATAACTTAATTGTTGAAGTCCAAATCATAACCATAAAAAGCTCTTATGCTTGTGAAGTGTTCTCTACGATTCCCCTGCAACACATTGTTGTGATCATTTTTCTTCTCTTCTTGATAGCATATGAGGCAGATTCATCTTCCAATTTAGCAATTCCCTTCATATTTATTTTAAAACTACTACGATGGTGATGTAGCATTAATTGGGGTTCAGACATGAAGAGAATATTTAATTTGGCTGTTCAATTTAAAAAACTCTATAGAAAGAAAACTCCCTCACAATACAAGCATTAAGTCATGAAGGGACCAGAAGATTGTATTTATTGAATTATATCGATATGATCTCTTCATGGAGACTACCAGTTGTGTTGATTTCACATCACCGTTAAAATAAAAAAAGATGCCTCCATAAGTTCATAAGCACAATCAAATCATCAATCAAACATCAAAGATTGGATCATTGAAACAATATGAAAGATGAGTTTACATTTCTTAACTTATTTAGATAAGTTTGTTTTTAAAATTAAGGATTATAATTAACTCTACTGAAATTATATTTTAGATTGAAGCATCTAGTCTTAAATTTGAAGATAGGTTGCTTATATTATATAGTTTGTCTAGAAATTAGTCCCTACTACTGTGGAGACAATTTGGAATGGATAAATTCTATTTCAAATTAATTATGATTGTAATTGCTTATAAGCTTAAAATCCTACCAAAAAATTCAATAAAGAATTCAAAAAAATAATAACCCCTCACTTCCTCTATTCCTCCCAACTAACGATCTCCAATGCTCGAGTACCATAAGATACAGCTATGTATCATAGCTAATAGACGGGTTCTATGGCAAACAGTCCTTGGGCACAATAGCTGTAGATGCCGGTGTAGAAACTGCTAGATTCATCTTTCAAACTAACGCGCATAGCACACAATAAGAGAAAGAGTCGTCAAAAAAATATATATATTGGCATGCTTGGAGGAAAGCCGATACATGCAGGCTGCATGGAAAAGAAAACCTAGATGGCGAATTCCAACAATCTAGCGGCATAGAACGGCAAAAGAGATTTGTTTTCCAGCGTGAACGGAAGTCATGCTCACTAACTACAGCATTAAAAAAGGCAGAGAAAAAAAAAATTCTTTCCAAAAAGGGGGAAAGTAAAAAAAACAGGTGACGAAAAGTCATATTTATAATGAAATAGCATTTGAGGTACATTTAATTAACTAATAGATCAATAAAGAACCTCCAAAAAATTTGTCAAAACCATTCTAAAGCCACTCTAACCTCTTATTGTGGAATTGATCTCCAATTGTTATGTGATTACACTGCTAGAATCATTGATCATCAGCACGTCATCACAAGGCTTTCCATAGAAACAGATTAAATCGGGCTTATTTCAAGATAGCCATTAGCTTTAATCTTTAAAAAACTTTAATATGGTGATACCGGAACTAGTAAGGGAAATAGTAGAAACACAAAAACAAAAACTTTCATTACTATTAAAATAGAGTTACAACATGACTCGAATAGAAATAGTAAGACAAATACAAAACGACACAACAAACACTTCTAAATATATTCCAATGGGTGATAGTGATCGACGAGGTGGGTCAGGATGGCTAGTCGGGGTGGTGATAGCAACAGAGTGCTGGTGGTTGTGAGGGAATAGTGTGAAACTGAAGGGACGGCAAGTGAGAAGGGTATTGGGTGGTCGGCAATGATCGTGTGGTAGTTAGGAGAAGCTTGAAGTGGTAGGCGGCTAAAAAGATTGAAAAAGATAGGTTGGGAAGGATAAGAGGGGAAGATACAATCACCACCGCGGAGAGGATATAGTCGGAGCACCACTACTTCCTCAGATACAGCCCACAAAGGAGAAGGACACTTTACATAGAAGATTTGAAACTAAACACGCTCATAACTTCTACAGAAAAGAGGTAAGAATAATCCAGAAAAGTCCTTCCCAAAAACTCCTACAAAGGTCGCCCTCCCCTCTATTCGCAAAGGATCGTGGAAAATCGCGACCCCCACTTTGTCTACAGTACCCGCGAAGAATTGCGGAGTCTCCTGCATTGATCCTGGCTTCATGCGGGACTTCTCCCGTTGTCGCAATTCTGCGGGCCTCCGCCTGGCGGAAATGAAGTGCCTACAACGGGAGCCCTAGGTCCTGTGTTAGATGGATATTGCAACAATTCGTTCTGCTAAACCCTATGTGGCTATAATTTAAGTGAAAAAAAAAATTTATTGCCCTATTCCATAAAAATTGTAGAATGGGTCTTCTTTATCTAGATATTGGCAAAAAGTGAAATTTCAGAACATTCCTCCATATTGCGCATTTTGCCCTTTTTAGCACACAATAATCTAATTGTTCAAAGCTCATCCGAAACATAAAAATTTTCAAACTTAATCACAGGACCCTCCACCTACTAACCATTAGGTGAAAGATCACCATAATGTTAACGACTATTCTCAAAACCCGATATCTAGTTCAATTTCCCTGCAAAGAAAAAATGAGTGATGATCCTACTCCTATCAAACATTTGGAATTATTCACTTCATCTACCCCTAAAATTAGAACTAACATTTCCTTTCAAAGTTCTAATAGCACTGAAACCTATACCCATTTGGTAACAAAATGATGATTATCTGCCACAACATGCATCTGATTCTAAGAGTAGTATTCAGATTGTAGACTCTCTAATGGATAAAAGATTTCATGTTAATTTTACCAAAAGAGGCAAAAACCAAAATATATCCATCTTCATTCTCCCATTTTCAGTAGGCATCAACGTAGACGTTCTAATTAATTTTGCTTTATTGTACTTCTCTCTTTTCTCTGGCAGTGCTTAAAAAATGCTATTGATCTAATCATATCATTATCTAAGTAAAATAAAGCCCTTATTGTGGACTCGCAACATAATGTTAAGAGGTTGACTACGAATCAAGTTCATACTAGTGTAGCATTCCTAGGTGCATGGTACAAATATAGAGAGAACATTAAAGCGAGAGAGCTCGTTCTTATTTTGGAGTCACATCAAAAGCCAAAAAAAAAGGAAAGAGCAAAAGGAAGAAGAAGAAAGACTACCAATAGCTATTAATAACTCTACACCAAATCTAACTTATGAAATCACTTGGCGAGTATAATATATGGTCGTAGCCTTATAAGCACAAAAAATCCAAACCAGGCTCAATCTAGTTATATATTTGTCAATTCAAATTAATATTTGGGTTAATTTTTTAGAAGGAAGATTAAATTTTTGACAATCGACATAAAGACTTCCTCTAATAAGGATTTCAGGGTCTAATTCAAACTTTCCCAAAGGCAAGCGAAAAAACAATGATTAATTATCACTCTCGATCAAGTTAGAAAACTTTCAATTAAGAATAATCGAAAGGCTCTAAAAAGTTTTGTTTTCATTAGTATCTTTTGGTTTAGAGTGAGAATGCTATACAATTATTGGCTCAGAGCAAATGGGCGTTGAATGGTGACAAGCTAATCAAAATCTCAGGGTTTCATCATCTCAAGTTGTTATGAATTCTAGTTTACCTAATTAGCATCAAAAGACGGTCAAACTTGATTAATAAAAAATAAACAAACATTGGTTGTCATATATGATGTTTGGGATAAAAGCTTATTGAATAAGCTAATTTTAAATTGACTTTGGGTAAAGAGTTCTTCGTACACTATTAATTGAGTCGTATAACTAAATACTCTTAGACTTAGCTATTAGGAAAATTCAAGCTAAGGTAGTAACCATAATATAATAAGGCCACACAAAAAGGTTGACCGCCAACTTAAAGGAAAACTGTCGCATTGTTGTCATTGTCATATTTGTTAGTGTGATCATATGAATATGTTTAAGATGACATTATTTTTTGTCAAAATTAAATTTATCACATTTGGCAAACTAGCGCAGAAGAAAGATGGGTGGTTGCTCTAATTTATAAAATGACAGATTAGTACACGAATTTTTTAATTTTTTTCCTTAATATTTTTTGTAGGGGAGAGCTAGATTTAGCTAGAGTGTACATAGATCATGATTTACATTTATTATTAGAAAAATTGCACAAAATATATTTCCTTCAAATTTTTAAAGGTAATTGTCATGAGGTGATTTATTAGAATTAAAAGAAAATAAGACAATCAATAGGACGCAATGCAGAAAAAGGATCCATGTAGCCGACCCTACTTAGTGGGATAAAGGCTTGTTGTTGCAGCCGACCCCACTTAGTGGGCTTAGTGGGATAAAGGCTTGTTGTTGTTGTATTGTCAAGATGTGATTTACTTCGAATATGATATTTTAATAATTAAATAGATCAATAGAGAGTATAAATCAATGCACACAAAGGATCTTATAAGTTGAAGATTCTTTTATTTTTTTGATAGCATTAGCAGTCATGATATTAATATGTAAATCGAAGCAGAGGCGCATTCTTTTTTTTTATATATAAAGATTGTGTTAACAACATCGTCGAACTACTATTGATTCACAGATAATCGAGTTCAAAAAATTGTCGGTGTATAAACCCTAATAACTCTGTTTGCTTGTTTGCATAAGATCTAGTTCAAGCCAATTTATGTATAAGAGATATCTAGATTCATTTTTGCATAATATTTGGAATTTGGATTCAATTTCCCCGATACTACAAATATACTGAATAGGGGGTTGAGATTTACATCCTCAAAACTTGGAGAATGCCCAAGGTTGGGACTTTCACCTCTACCTATATGCACGGCAACCTAATCAGTTCCTTTTTTTTAATGGTTTTCATTGAAAAATATCGTAAATACTTAAATAAATACATGAAAAATATATAAATGAGCCCCTTCCTTGCATTTTTTTATTTTGTCATTTGGAAAATTGCCAAAATACCAGCATCAGTGCACTGGATCCCATCAGAACTCCGCAGTTAAGCGTGTTTAGGCGAGAGTAGTACTAGGATGAGTGACCTCCTGGGAAGTCCTCTTGTTGCACCCCTCCATTTTGCAACATTTCAATTCTTTTTTTGTTCCGCCCGCTCCGCCCAGCAAATCGGCATCTGCCGCGGGCCCCGCAAGGGTTATCGGCGGGGAAAATGCGAGGCGGGACGAGAATCGTAATGACTCCCGCGGGCCTACAGCTCCCCTTGGCCCTACATCTCGCCTTGGCCCCACAACGGTTATCGGCCGGGGAAATGGGAGGCCGTAGGAGAATCAGGAAAATTTTATAAGATGGTGGTGAGACCTGCAATGCTCTATGGCGTTGAATGTTGGCCTTTAAAAGAGAAGCATAATAATAAGTTAAGTGTTGCCGGGATGAGAATGATTAGGTGGATGAGTGGCTTTACTCTTAGAGACAAAATGCGGAATGAATATATTTGTGATAGGGTTGGTGTAGCTCCTGTGACAGACAAAATTAGAGAAAGTCGTCTTAGATGGTTTGGTCATATTAAACGTCGACCATTAGATGATCCGATTAGGAGAGTAGATGTTTTAAATTCGACTTGTGTTAAGAAAGGCAGAGGTAGACCTAGGAAGACTTGGGCTTATTGTATAAAAAATGATCTTAACTTGCTAGAACTAAATGAAAATATGACACTAAATAGGACGCAATGGAGAAAAAGGATTCATGTAGCCGACCCCACGTAGTGGGATTAAAGCTTTGTTGTTGTTGTTGTTGTTGCTGTGGGAAATTGCCAACATTTAGCCCCATCTACTCCGATATGTAGAGGATCGTGCCCAAATATTAGGTATTGTAGCCTAGTTCTATAGATAAGGTAGCCCATAGAGTTTATATTTTACAAATTTTTATTATAAAAATCCTTGAAAACTTATGCAAATGTGATGTCAAATATTTTGATAATATTTCAAGCAGAATATTTGATCCCTCACCTGCCATGAAACAAACATATTTCATTAAAGTGAAGGTGGAGAATTTATGATGATTCTTTTGTCACATCAGCAGTTTACAGAGTATGGGAGCTAACAACTCCATCTCCATCCATGGCATGTGCATTATGAGGACAATGAGTTGGCTTCTACAGCTAGCTTTATTTTAACAAATTCTTAAATAAATTTTGAGATAGCTTTAAAAAATTAAATTAATTAATTTACTTTAATATTATTTCGCCATTTTTTTCCTACAAAAAATTAATTCTTATGATAATAATAATAATAATAATTATTATTATTATTATTATTATTATTATATAAAGTTAAATCCCAAATCTACTCCCCCGTTATTCATATATAGTCAATAGAAGCACATAATATCATTTTTTTTTTCAACTTAATCCCTCGGACTTCATAAAATTGATCCAAAATAATTGCACGGGAATAAAAATGTGATGCAAAATTGATCCCATTTTAGTCCCTGGACAATACAAAATTATTTCTAAATCAGTCCATGAGAAATCATTTGGACGATTTTGTATGGCCAAGATATTAAACTAGAGAAACACGATATTCTACAACTAAATTGGCTACATATAAATAGTCATGAGAGAATTTTAAAACTAAAACTATAGAGGTTTGAGAGTGGAAGTAATCAATTTTCTATAAAAAAGAAAAGCATGGAATATGATTAGCATATCTCAGGCTTAGAAGATCATATGTCAAAAGCCAGTTCTAAGAAACAATCTTCCACTCAACTGAAAACCCCTTACCATCTCTCTATTAGATTTTTTCGTGGCTCCATCCTTTCTCTCTTAAAAAAATCTGAAGAGAGTGCAGCAAATTTTAATAGCACGTATGTGGAACATTCTTGTCTATATCCTTATAATTTCTACAGTATTACTAGGTCAATACTCGGTGGTTGAGGTAACTAACTCTTAACCAAATTTAAAAACTTCCAAACCTTCATTAACCCTCATCCCTAAGGATAAAAGACAAACTATCTTTATCTCCAAGCAATTCACACATAATACATTAGCTCAACCTCTTCCATGCATGTTGCCTGCTTCGCCATCTTGTTGTAGAATTATACAGAATAAAACATATTCCCTGATAATGTATCAGGGCTCCCTCCCTCTTTCCCTTGGAAACCTAGCCTCATCCATAAACAAGAATAAGATAAGGAAAATATGCCCACTAAATAGAAAAAATAGTCAGTAATGTGAATATAAATAAATTATTAAATGCATGATATGCCAAAGAAGACAAGATCACAACAAATCAGACTTAATATTTGATTTAGAACTAAAATACTAGCACAAAAGCGGCATGTATATGAAAAAAATGTGATTCTGTTTTACCACTCTTGGAGAAAGACAAATATTAATTCAAAAGCATCATTTGGAAGACTAATGCCCAGCTCTTCATGAAGCTCCCTCCTGGAAAACGAAAAAAAAAGGGTTGAAGATGAGAAAAAAATAAGTTCCAGTTACTAAAACCAATAAAAATGGTGATGACAGACTGAAGTAAATATTTGTTCATTCAAAACCACATCACTAGTTATCAAAAGTTTTAATCAGCCAAGCTCAGTCGATGCAAATTACATAGATTTTCTGGTCATGTACTCCTTCACTCTTTCTATTCCCACGAATATCTTTAGATAGTGGGCCTATTTGGGGTGCGTATGAAGCGTGACCCATAAGAAAAACCTATTATAAGAACTACATGCCGAACTTTAAAGGGATAATCAATGGATACCCATATGCAGCATTAAAAGATGAGTCATTGGTCAACCTGCACCACCAGAGTAACAAGAACGTTATCGAAGAAACTACTTTCTATGTTCGCTGAATCTCACCATATAATTCTAAAAAATGGTAGAAAAGATCTCTACATATGCCCCAACGAACATCTCACCCCATGTTTCAATATACACACACTACAACTAACTTTTTTGCACTTCAGAGTGAAGCTCTCCTAAAATTATTTTTTGAACTTTGAGCTTCATAGAAGCTAAAACTTAGTTAAAAATGTGATCATGCTATTTTTTTGAACATTTTCACATCCTAATGAACTCAAAATCAAACAGTTTTGAACTCAATTGATTTGTTTCATCAAAAAGCTTGCTTCAACTATGTTTGCATCATTTAAGCCTGTGAAATAAAAATATTCCTTCAAATGGCTAGAAAATTTCTCAATCATGCATATGTGTGCTTCATTTAAGCTTAGTCAAACTCAAATCAAGGCTTTCATGTAGCTTTGAGTACACCATGCCAAATTGCACTGTCTCAATTATAAGTTATTGAACAAAGAGTTAGGATGGTATTGGACTCAACTCCCATAATTCAATGCCTAAACACTAGCATGTTTTGAGATCCAAAAATTTGATCAAATATGGACTCAATCATAATAAACATTTTGGTGACATATCAATTGACCCACTAGTATTTAACAAAAAATCCATGAAACTCTAGATCTCAAAAAACATGAACATAAAATCACCACTTCAAGAGAGTCACAAGGAGCAAACACTTATTACCCATCAACATAAATCTCTCCTCGAGGCAATGAACCAAGTAATTACTTCTAATAATTCCACTTTTCAAGAAAGTTAACACATTTTTGGAAAAAAAAACATTGAAAATTCTAGCATAAGACGCATTAATCTCATAAATGTCCCTTAACCATTTAGGTATGGCCAATTTAATAACAGAGTGTCATATGCCTCAAATTTAACCCCTTGATATAACAAAACTGATCAAAATTAGTCCCATATAGAAATTGAGTACAAATTGATCCCATTTTAACCCCTCAACTAAAAAAAATTAATCCCAATTTAGTCCCTAAATAAACATTTTGGACCAATTTTGAATTGTGGAGAAATAAAATTAGAGTTTAATCCTCAAAAAATAGTTCAAAATTTAATAGACCCTCACCTATTTAGGCATGGCCAATTTAATCATAAAGTATCATATGCCTCAAATTTAACCCCTCCATTTTACAAAATTGATCAAAAATAGTCTATTGATGGCATTTTAATTCCTCAACTAAACAAATTAATCCCAATTTAGTCCCTAAAAAACCATTTTGAACCAAAATTTTGAACAGTAGGGAGATTAAATTAGAGTTTAACCCTACAATAATGGTTCAAAATCAGGAGACTATTTTGAAATTTAACCCTGCCAAAATGGCTAAAAATTGCCTTGAGAGGCTCTACTTGAGAAAAAAAGTGTAAAAATTGAATCTAGAATATCAAAAAATTATCCAAATGAATCCCAAAATGCTTTCTAAGTGCTCATATCTTGTATAATTGATTATGTAGTTTAAATTTAACCAACTGTAATACACACATCTAGTTTTCCATCATACACATTATTTGACACCCTATATTACTTATGGGCTTACATACACCTCGCAATTGTTGTTAATGAGTATTAAATTAGTTTGATTTAGTTGTTTATAGGCAGTGACGCCCATTGCAACTTAATTTGAGTTCATTCTGCATGTTATAATGAGGATTTAGTTGGGTGAGATTTAAAAGAAATTATAAAATGCTATCGGACAATTAGGCAGATAAATTTAGTTTTTGCTTGATAAATTCAAATAGTTTGCTTAAATCATGTGTGGCCTTGTTAAATGTTGATTCAATGAGTGTGGTATAATTGGGAGTAACGAGTACTGACAGAAGTCATAATCATACATTAGTGCGAGGGCCGATTTTCCCTATATGGTGAATTATTTTCTTGTTCTCTTGTCCTCTACATAATTTGCACTAGTTTTTGCAAGGATTGCTAATATTAGTCAAAAATCTTAAAACTGTGTTTCTATTTGTTGTAAGGCTCCTAATTGACTTGTCGGTTTTCGAAATTACAATTTCTCTTCAGATATATCTGATTTAGATAAAGCAACTAAATTATCATTTGGCACAAATTTACTTTAGCTTTTAGGCTTAAATCAAAACGATGAGTTCTAGTTTTAATTGGTGGTCTATTAAATGTGATTCCCAACATACTTGTCGTGATTTTATCAATAAAAGCCTAGATAATAGAAGCTAAGTCCTAAGGTGCCTTGGTCTGTAAAGCCTGCCCAGAGATGTTAGAATCTACTCTTTCCAAATCATTTTAAACTTGTATCATGTTATTTTAGGCCTGCTACTTCAAAATTCTCATACACTAATTTCATTCACCCATCCAATGACTCATTATATACCTTTCAGTTAAGATATTCAAATTTTATTACCCATAATTTACAGTTTCAAACCATCTATGGGCTTACTAGATAGCTAATTCATTTGTTGCTATCAATAAAATTGGTTGAAAGTAGATATGGCAAGGGAGCTTGATGCAGTACTGTAGCTGCTATAGTACCGCGGTCTAGCATTTCTACGCCCTCCCCAATTTCTATTTGATTACTTGCCTTTCCAGCCCTTCCTTTTCTAGCACATTTCTTGTCTAACCCATTCCTTTTCCATCACCTTTCTTATTTTATTCATTTCATATTTCTAGTCCTTACATATTTCTCTTCCTTTCCTATTTCTATTCCTTAACTTTTTTCATTCTCTTCTTAATTCTATTTCCTTCCTATTCTGACGACTAGTACCTACTATAAATATGTTGTTTGTTGCCTTGGGGTTCAGTTTTTATCTTCCAAACTTCATATTTATGTCCTCTCTTCTATGGTTGTATCCGACAATGAGTGGTGCTATGACTGTATCTCATCCGAGGTGGTGACCTCCTCTAAGAGTTCAAGTGGTGCTCTGGCTGTAGCTCGATCCTGCGAGGATATTTATCCCATTCAATACCTCTGAAACCCCTTTGCAACCACCCCCACCCCTCGCCGCCGCAGCCCCCGTACAGCTCTCCCTTAGCTGTCCCACAGTCCAACGCCTTTCTCTTCATCGCCGCCATCACAATATTCATTGTAGCTACCTGGCAAACACCCTTTTCTCGATGTATTCCTGTAACCCCCTGCCATCTAGCTCCCTCCCACCTTGCTATCATCCTTCTTCGTCGCCTTCCAGCACCTATCCAACCCCTTTCCAGCCACCTATATGTTGTCTGAACCTCACGTAATCCCTTTCCCCGCATCATAGCTATTGATCCAGCCTTGTCGAACCAGCTCCCTGCCACCTAATCGCTAATCCAACCCATACGACCCCCGAATTGCAGTTCACAACCCCCACCCTTCTTGTTGCAGTCAACCAACACTCTCCATCCCTTCCCGGTCGCCACAGCCAACTCACAAACTCTTTCACCAATCATCACTCTTGGGATTTGCCTTAATTGCATAAGTGGTGTGTGTTTTTTGTTGTATTTCCATTTCGTTGTGATCTTTAAAACCGCTTATTTGCTTCGAATAGTAAAATTTATTTATCTATTGTAGTTTGGGTTAACTCTGGCATCATTTGGCATCAAAGCTAACCTAAACCAAGTCCTATCCTAGGATTTCCTAGCATGCATACCTAGCTAAGCCACCTCCACCAAAAGTTTTCTTTCCTATCACCCACCAAAAAAAAACCAAATTTTGACCTAATCCTAATTTCCCTTTGTTGATTTTGAAAATTAGTAACCCAAATTAAATTTTCTACACTTTCAATTAATCTCATGCTCCATCTTTCACCTCCCAACCCAAACACTATCCACACCACCAAGGAGATACATGTTTGAGCCTAATCGGAAAGAGATACAGCTAGAGATCCACCGCTTTAGCGAAAGCTTGCGAACATTGAGGATGAAACCCGGGGGGAGATTACCCTCGACCATGACATAGAAAGTCGAATGGGAGAACGGGAGAATCTGAAAATGAAACGAGAGATACAGTGCTAGTTCCTACAGCTTACTATAGACAGAAGGTTCAGACTCTAGCTTCAGAAGCAAAGAGACAACATTACCGAGCGACCACCAAGTCTTACAGACAGCGCTCAACCTTAGGGTCTTACTATCATATTACAGCCAGGAGAACTTCCAAGTTAACCCTGTCAGAGGCAAAGTTGAGTCAGAAGGCACAACAGGTGGAACCAATCTGCATCCCTAAATTTATCTCAGCCAGTAAGTGCTCTAGATTTGGGCATGTTAAAGCAAACTGCAAGACCAAGGGGTGATCGGTTTCAAAGGGCAGGGCGTTCTTGAAAAATTAGGTAATGACACAATAAACACAGAAGATAGTGAGGACACAGAAAAAGGGCCAGCTTCCAATTAAGAAGGAAAAAATGCACAAAATTCTAGTTAAACCTATGGGAGAGACTCCAACCGACTTCACGATGAGTGTCCAAAATAGTATTGAGATTGAGGAACTAACACCAAAGGCATGCCAACCCCATATGAGAAAAATTCATACCATTTAATCTATAGACTCATTACTAAGTTGCCCCTACAGAGGGAGGACCAGCATGTCATAAATGAGGCCGTTACATGCCATGACTAGAAGATTACATAAAGTT